CACACTCGACGGTGGAATGAAGGAGGAGGGGGTGGGGGGGGGGGGGGGGCGGGGCTTTTCTCCCCCTTTTTTCGCCCCCCCCCGGGGGGATTAACACGCCAAAAGCCCCCCAACGCGGGAATTTGGCGCCAAAGAAAAAAAAAATGTGAAGGGGGGGGGGGGGGGGGGGGGGGGGGGGGGGGGGCTGGGCGCAGCTGGAATTGACTGATGCATAAATGGTAAACGAACTTCCATTCGATACGTCTGAACCGGGAAAACTGGACTAGCTTTTTGGAATTTCCGTTTGTCCCGGGAATTTTCCAGTGGGATGAACCAAAAAAACGTTTACCATGTATTTACATCCCTAGAGGAATTTCCGGGAATTTGTGGTAAATGGTAAACAAGCCCTGTTTCCGAGAATGTCACGCTGTGGTGATTCGATTGAATTAGTATGCATTAGTGTAGAAGATACGAAATTAATTTTAAGGATCTTTGAAATAATTACTGTTGCACAGAATTAACAACGTGTGCCGGAAGGAGGGTCGTTTTGATGGGCTTAGAGGAGAGAAATGGAGTGAGAAATCGCCGTGACAGGCCCAGCAGTATGAAACGATAAAAGGAACTCAAAACGTGGTTCTAAATGTCGTATGCATAACATTAAAAGAGTCGCCATGGTGCTTACTTAAAAAAAACGCCTCATTTATTTACTGACGCGTCGCACCCTGGCTACGCTTACTGTATTTTCTGCATCAAGACGACCGAGCTGTTCCTTTTTGATTAATTAAACCAAACCTGACGGTCCTGATATGGGCTGTGTACCTTCGACATCAGCCTCGTCATGGGGTTGTACATCATCGATAAAATTATCAGCAAAAGAGCCTGAGATTGTTGAATCTGGCCAACGCATCGGGAAGGTAAGCACATGTGCTTTGTAATGACCTCCACTTTATAGCGTTTGCTTTATTTTTTATCTTCATCCGTTATGAAGAGAGATATATAATGACAACATTTTCTGCCAAGACAACTACTTTTAAATATCACGGTCTTACACATGCAATGATGCCTGTTGCAGCTGACTAGTAACAAGCAGTAACAAGCAGGGATACGTTTGAATCTCTGACTACGGCTTGGAAAGGTTCGCAGCTTCAAGTAATGTACATGTTCAGTCACTGAAAAGCACTTGGAGCCCGATTCTATTGCGGCCTAATCAGTATATGGCCTTTATGGAAGCTGCGCTTTTTGCTCAAGGGGTTTCGATACAGTTATCGGGAGACCATACCGATATTTTTCAATCGCCTTAAAGGTGATTTTGTCCTCGTTCGATCGCTGTAAAATTTTCACCAGTGATTGACTATGAATTGAAGTTTGTCAAAAGGCAGTTTTCGGTAAAATCGATATCACTACGACAACAATAAACAAAAAAAATTGAAATATGTAAAAGCCGAATTTTGCCCGATCTAGATCTAGGTACTTAGCCCGATCTAAGTGCGGTACTTAGCAAATAACCTCCGTCAGAAACAAAAATTCTGTATGTTTGAATTCAAGTAAAACGTATATATATCAAACCTTACATTTTCAATAGCCGTGAGAAATTATTTAACTGATAAAAAAGTTCTAAATAACTCAAATTAATCTTAATTATCGTCAGAATATAACTGCTTACACTGTAATATCATATTTCGCTGCTTGGAAATTTTGGTGTATTTTGTTTCTTGCGATCCTGAGAACTAACCTCTTTTCTGACCACCTGTCTAAGTGCAACTTTATTCTAAATTTTGGCTTTTAGTGCTTTTCTGTCTATCTCTAAAACTGCTCAACAGAATTCTTTTTAAACCTCGTCACATAATCTTCACGATGTATATAATAATTTGTGAAACTTTCATCAAGATTGATTCATTGCAACACCTTGAAATTTCGAGACAAACCTAGCCTACAAACCGGCCAAAACTCCGCGCTTTAACATTCACTGTTTCGACGTTATGCTAATTTTCCCATACATACCTCCATGACTAGTGCATTTCAGTGTAAACATTGTCAATGCTTTACATTCCAAAGATGCGATAAAATTCAAACTGAAATGTACGAGCCATTGAGATATGTATGGTCCGCATTAATTTGGAAAAACTAGCATAACGTATTTTCTTAGACGGTCGAACGCATTTTCCCAATACAGGGGCGTAGCCAGCATTTTTGCATATATCAGAGTGGTTCCTGTGGTCAGTTTTGTCTAGATTGACAATCGATCTTCAGAGGGTTTCCCGGAAAAATTTTAATATTTAGGTCCTCAGAAATTCCGTTTTGTGATTCTGAGTACAAATTTTCAAAAACAATGCCAAATGAAGCTAGATTTTTTTCGCTTCCAGTGAGGAGATAGTGTGATAGACTTTATAATAATTAGGTTGAAGATAGTTATTTTTTTTATTCCAGGTAATTTTTGTTTTTCTTTTGTTTTTGGGTATAGAAATGTATACTGATGCAGTTGAAACAAAAGAAAAATAACAATTACCTGAGACAAAAAAATTAACTACAACATATATGTTGATAATCGTTGAATACATTAAAACACACAATGTAGTCCTGTGATTTGCCGTTTACTCAGTCAGGGTATTAGCAAGGAGACATCATGGATGCTTCTGTGCAAAGGTGTCGATTGTTGGCCTTTGGGCCAATTTGCGTTCATCAGAGAAAGTGCAGCGGACTCTCTCTTCAGTCATGGTCATCACCAAGTACTTGTTAAGTCTGCGCCATGCGCTAAGCCATCGCCCACGTTCTGCTGATGTAATATTTGTAATAACGTGCTTGAAATACGCAGCAACTTGAAGTTTGGAAACAATTCATGGCCAAGCTGTCAACTGCACTACTAGAAAGGTCTTTTTCGGCGTTGAGCCACTTGCGCTGCCAACGGAAAAGCCCGCGCCGCATGAAAATTAGAGCCGATGGTATCCTAATAGACATCGATGTCTCGCTTTCGGAGCCTGATATTGAGTAGCTTTTATTTAAGGAAAAGGCACTGCATCGTGGTAACCTGGGTGGCATATGATGAATTCATAATTGAATACTGTATGTTTTAGGCAGTTTGNCTCAGTCAGGGTATTAGCAAGGAGACATCATGGATGCTTCTGTGCAAAGGTGTCGATTGTTGGCCTTTGGGCCAATTTGCGTTCATCAGAGAAAGTGCAGCGGACTCTCTCTTCAGTCATGGTCATCACCAAGTACTTGTTAAGTCTGCGCCATGCGCTAAGCCATCGCCCACGTTCTGCTGATGTAATATTTGTAATAACGTGCTTGAAATACGCAGCAACTTGAAGTTTGGAAACAATTCATGGCCAAGCTGTCAACTGCACTACTAGAAAGGTCTTTTTCGGCGTTGAGCCACTTGCGCTGCCAACGGAAAAGCCCGCGCCGCATGAAAATTAGAGCCGATGGTATCCTAATAGACATCGATGTCTCGCTTTCGGAGCCTGATATTGAGTAGCTTTTATTTAAGGAAAAGGCACTGCATCGTGGTAACCTGGGTGGCATATGATGAATTCATAATTGAATACTGTATGTTTTAGGCAGTTTGTCGTGCTGTTAGTGGGGGTTTTCCATGTTTCAGACAATTTCCTCAGACTGATTTGCAAACATCCACGCAGATTTCATTCTACCTTCTCACTTCCATGCCTCTACCGAGTTTCTATTAAGCTCTCTCATTGTCAAACCATTACAACATGCAATTGAAAGCAATCGAGACCAACAAAGGTGTGCTGAATCCCACATTGCGGGCTCGTATACACAGGGGCATCCTTTAACAGCGTCTCGGATTCCTCTTGAAATTATAGGCAGTGCCGCAGCCCAAGGGGGAGGGGGAAAGGTTCCGGAACCCCTGGAATCCTTCCCTGGCTACGCCACTGCAATAACTAGAGATCATTGTCGTTCAGGTTCGCGTGGCCTCGTCTCGCGATAGCTGGAATTTTTGTTTCTTAATGTTCTTTCTGATTGTTTGTTCTTCTACAGCTGTATTTGGCTAAAAACACTTCATACATGTAATCATTAAAGGCGACAATGTTCTCAGCAGATTAAATGTACTACACTTTGTTATAGTGGTGGCTCCAACAAATTCAAGTTTTGGTTAAATTAAACTAAATTTGTGACATTTTCTTCAGATCAACTGAAGAAATCTGATCCTGCATTTGTTGTTCAGTATAAGTTGAAATTCCAAGAAATTTAAAGAGTACTGCAACAGAACTCTCCAACTCAAGGTACCTGTAAACTTTTCAATCAGATTAACAGAGAGACGAAATAGAAGTTTTATTATGATCCTAAGCTAAGGACCCGGTGAGGAAAAAACTGAGTCCCGGAGTTGACTACCAAAACTGAACCAAGGTTAACTAACTTAGATACATACTAACACGATCTTTATTGTCAACTCGTTATAGCGCCAACGGCGATTATCGCCTTTTAGAGACTTAAGATACTGCTGAGATAAAAACTAATATGTGAAATTTTTTACAACTAAATGCCGCGTAAAATCATCTCAGTAAAATATGGAGTCTTTCCTCTGTACCACATCTGCAACATGCCAGTTGATTTCCTTATCGAGCGAAGAGTTTTAAAGTTGATCGGGTCTTATGTTTCTTTCCTCCTAAACGATAGTTGATATAACCAACAAAAATGACCATAAAAGAATCGGATAATTAAACTCTGTTACCGTTGTAGGAAATCTCCAAAGCTGTCAAAGTACAAGTTACCAAGAAGAAAGACAATGTAAAGACTTCAGGTACATGATTATAATAATCAAATTCCTTTACACGGCAGCAGCGAGGAATTTGACATTTAGCCTGATTGGCTTATCTCTAGTCTTTAACTTCCGCAGGTAAGAAAACTACACCGTCGAGGACGAAAAAACAAAGGGACACTGCTAATCGTCGGCCTAGACCAAGAAGAAAACACCGCCGAGTCGGGTCGACTGACTCTGACTCTGATTCTGACTCAGAAGAAGAAGAACAAGAACAACAAGAAGAAGAGGAAGAGGAAAAAGAAGAAGAAGAAGAAGAAGAAAAAGAAGAAGAAGAAGAAGGAGAAGGAGAAGAAGGAGAAGAAGAAGAAGGAGAAGGAGAAGAAGGAGAAGGAGAAAAAGAAGAAGAAGAAGAAGGAGAAGGAGAAGAAGGAGAAGAAGAAGAAGAAGGAGAAGAAGAAGAAGGAGAAGGAGAAGGAGAAGGAGAAGGAGAAGGAGAAGGAGAAGGAGAAGGAGAAGAACAAGACTAAGAACAACAAGAAGAAGAACGCTAAACAGTGAAGTCTAGAGTACTAATTAAAACTTAGAACTACATGGTACGCCATGATACTATGCTGCGCCTACTATCACTATCACCACCACCACCACCACCACTACCACTACAACTGCCACCACCATTACCTCTACCCCTGACCACCACTACCACTGACCACATTTCCACTATAATGTAAAATCGTACTTTCAATATTCGACAATATCATAAGGGTGAAAATGGAAAAACAAAAATACGAGTGTTACTTAAAAGTGAAAAGTTATGATAGTTCTCCTTCCCGACTTTTTCTCACCATGCTGGCTACGAACTGGTGCCAGTAGTCGTCGAGTGACCATACAGATAAAAGGAGTCCTCTTTAGACAACAACTGAAACAGACGTCCTTTGAATATTGTGTAAGCTTTGACACGTGGTAGGGTACATTTTTGCTCAGTCTGCTTTATTGTATGCACTTCTCTACGTAACCATTAATATTTATTCAGTTTATTCTATATTGGTGTTTGGGTTTCAAATAATTCGAAAAAGGCAGGTTGTACGGTTTAACACTTAATATTAACGTAAATATAATTTTAAAGCTGAGTTTGACAGTAAAGTCACAATTAGTTTTGAGAAACACCTCTTCGAGCTCTGATTTCGGTAACTTAAAACAAATTCATCAGATATAAATAATTATTTCCTTTAGTACGTGTTTTCAGCTGTGGATACAAGAATGAGCAATTTCTTTGACGAAGTTTGTTTGTTTTAAGCTGAAATCAGTTCTCACTTTTGCTTCCAAACCTGAATAATAATCAGTCTTGCCTACCTCATTAAATCTACCTTAAGGCCACGCGTCCTAACACCTTTTGAGTACTTTGTTCTCTGTTGAACCATTTTCAGCCAAATTTTACTTACCGTTCTGACCTCAAGCTAGAATTTCTTTCGACACCATCTTAGGAAAATTTAGTTTCTTTCAAACTATAGTTTTGGTTCTCTGTAACTGAGGAATTTGGTTATCGGAGATATTTCTAGTTTTGCAAATTTCTTCCGCGGGTAGCTGGAATCAACTCAATTTCAGTTCCTTCTGTTTTCTAGACTCTGACACTTACTAGCACTTTTTCCTTGCATATGAATACCATGAAAAACTGTTAAAAACCAATTCACTTAATTGTTCAATATAAATAGAACCTGTTGTGAGTAGCTTCTTTACCTTGAGATCCCGGGGGGTGTTACTTTAGGAATTTCTGGGTGGGGATGTGCCGCTGGGACCTTGGAACCCTTAACCTATACTAGAGCTAGTTCAGCTAAATTTTGATACCCTATACTAGAGTAAACTCCCCAAATCCCCCTATCCTAGAGTAGCTGTTTCCCTAGTCTAGATAAAATCTCCAACCAACTGATCAGTTTCCTGAAAAATGATACCCTATTCTAGACCCAAACGCTCTGATTTATATACCTATCCTAGAGTAAACTGCTTGAAAACCGTACCCTTCACAGCGGCACATACCTATATAGCCCATATATGGCAGTACCCTCCCCCCCACTCCCCCCACAACAGGCTTGAGATCTGAGATAGATAAGAGGAGATTGTAACTACGCGTCAGCAAGATTAAACCATTTTCAACTGCCAAACTCTGGTTGTGTGACCTCTCTTCACGTAATCGTAAAGTCTGTAGAAAACCCCCCCTACACACGTGTTGACAGTTACTCGTTCTCTTGCCCGATTGTTATATGAACATTGGCACTACAGGTTAGCGCCCTGTATATCACTGTTAGAGTTAGGCTAGATCAGCTAGGTGAATATTTCCCATAACTTGCCTCACAATTTTGAAGTTCTTTTTTATTTGCGCTGTTGCGAGACCGCTTGGACAAGACGCTTCCAGATGAAGTAACACCCATTGTGATTTTCCTTGCAAATTGCAGAAAAACAACTCCGACGGTTGTTGTAGCAATCGTCGCGAGAAGAAGAACTTGATTAGCTTCTACTGCGTGTAACACTTTACCTTCCTGCGAGACGTTTATTTTTCGGCCAATCAGGGGGTATTATGCGATACTGCATGGGTGTGCAACTATTTGTTCAACTTTGGTAATCTGAACAAAACTGCGAGAAACATTGCAAGAAAAATTGTCCTGTGTAACAGGGTATTTAGTCGCAGCTCTGAAGAATTTCTCGCTTTTTTTGCTAAAATAATACTGGACACCGACTAAGTCTGCGGAAGTCTACACAGTCTAAGTCTAAGTCTAAGTCTACACAGCGGAAAATCAGTCAAAATAAACATGGACTGCAAACTGAGGATTACGGACCTGGTATAAATTATAAAACGCGGTGTTTAGTCCGCAAAAGAATCGGATAATTAAACTCTGTTACCGTTGTAGGAAATCTCCAAAGCTGTCAAAGTACAAGTTACCAAGAAGAAAGACAATGTAAAGACTTCAGGTACATGATTATAATAATCAAATTCCTTTACACGGAAGCAGCGAGGAATTTGACATTTAGCCTGATTGGCTTGTCTCTAGTCTTTAACTTCCGCAGGTAAGAAAACTACACCGTCGAGGACGAAAAAACAAAGGGACACTGCTAATCGTCGGCCTATACCAAGAAGAAAACACCGCCGAGTCGGGTCGTCTGACTCTAACTCTGACTCAGAAGAAGAAGAACAAGAACAACAAGAAGAAGAGGAAGAAGAAAAAGAAGAAGGAGAAGAAGAAGGAGAAGAAGGAGAAGAAGAAGGAGAAGGAGAAGGAGAAGGAGAAGGAGAAGAACAAGACTAAGAACAACAAGAAGAAGAACGCTAAACAGTGAAGTCTAAAGTACTAATTAAAACTTAGAACTACATGGTACACCATGATACTATGCCGCGCCTACTATCACTATCACCACCACCACCACCACCACCACCACCACCACTACCACTACAACTGCCACCACCATTACCTCTACCCCTGACCACCACTACCACTGACCACATTTCCACTATAATGTAAAATCGTACTTTCAATATTCGACAATATCATAAGGGTGAAAATGGAAAAACAAAAATACGAGTGTTACTTAAAAGTGAAAAGTTATGATAGTTCTCCTTCCCGACTTTTTCTCACCATGCTGGCTACGAACTGGTGCCAGTAGTCGTCGAGTGACCATACAGATAAAAGGAGTCCTCTTTAGACAACAACTGAAACAGACGTCCTTTGAATATTGTGTAAGCTTTGACACGTGGTAGGGTACATTTTTGCTCAGTCTGCTTTATTGTATGCACTTCTCTACGTAACCATTAATATTTATTCAGTTTATTCTATATTGGTGTTTGGGTTTCAAATAATTCGAAAAAGGCAGGTTGTACGGTTTAACACTTAATATTAACGTAAATATAATTTTAAAGCTGAGTTTGACAGTAAAGTCACAATTAGTTTTGAGAAACACCTCTTCGAGCTCTGATTTCGGTAACTTAAAACAAATTCATCAGATATAAATAATTATTTCCTTTAGTACGTGTTTTCAGCTGTGGATACAAGAATGAGCAATTTCTTTGACGAAGTTTGTTTGTTTTAAGCTGAAATCAGTTCTCACTTTTGCTTCCAAACCTGAATAATAATCAGTCTTGCCTACCTCATTAAATCTACCTTAAGGCCACGCGTCCTAACACCTTTTGAGTACTTTGTTCTCTGTTGAACCATTTTCAGCCAAATTTTACTTACCGTTCTGACCTCAAGCTAGAATTTCTTTCGACACCATCTTAGGAAAATTTAGTTTCTTTCAAACTATAGTTTTGGTTCTCTGTAACTGAGGAATTTGGTTATCGGAGATATTTCTAGTTTTGCAAATTTCTTCCACGGGTAGCTGGAATCAACTCAATTTCAGTTCCTTCTGTTTTCTAGACTCTGACACTTACTAGCACTTTTTCCTTGCATATGAATACCATGAAAAACTGTTAAAAACCAATTCACTTAATTGTTCAATATAAATAGAACCTGTTGTGAGTAGCTTCTTTACCTTGAGATCCCGGGGGGTGTTACTTTAGGAATTTCTGGGTGGGGATGTGCCGCTGGGACCCTGGAACCCTTAACCTATACCAGAGCTAGTTCAGCTAAATTTTGATACCCTATACTAGAGTAAACTCCCCAAATCCCCCTATCCTAGAGTAGCTGTTTCCCTAGTCTAGATAAAATCTCCAACCAACTGATCAGTTTCCTGAAAAATGATACCCCATTCTAGACCCAAACTTTCTGATTTATATCCCTATCCTAGAGTAAACTGCTTGAAAACCATACCCTTCACAGCGGCACATACCTATATAGCCCATATATCGCAGTACCCTTCCCCCCTCCCCCCACAACAGGCTTGAGATCTGAGATAGATAAGAGGAGATTGTAACTACGCGTCAGCAAGATTAAACCATTTTCAACTGCCAAACACTGGTTGTGTCACCTCTCTTCACGTAATCGTAAAGTCTGTAGAAAACCCCCCCTACACACGTGTTGACAGTTACTCGTTCTCTTGCCCGATTGTTATATGAACATTGGCACTACAGGTTAGCAACCTGTATATCACTGTTAGAGTTAGGCTATGTCAGCTAGGTGAATATTTCCCATAACTTGCCTCACAATTTTGAAGTTCTTTTTTATTTGCGCTGTTGCGAGACCGCTTGGACAAGACGTTTCCAGATGAAGTAACACCCATTGTGATTTTCCTTGCAAATTGCAGAAAAACAACTCCGACGGTTGTTGTAGCAATCGTCGCGAGAAGAAGAACTTGATTAGCTTCTACTGCGTGTAACACTTTACCTTCCTGCGAGACGTTTATTTTTCGGCCAATCAGGGGGTATTATGCGATACTGCATGGGTGTGCAACTATTTGTTCAACTTTGGTAATCTGAACAAAACTGCGAGAAACATTGCAAGAAAAATTGTCCTGTGTAACAGGGTATTTAGTCGCAGCTCTGAAGAATTTCTCGCTTTTTTTGCTAAAATAATACTGGACACCGACTAAGTCTGCGGAAGTCTACACAGTCTAAGTCTAAGTCTAAGTCTACACAGCGGAAAATCAGTCAAAATAAACATGGACTGCAAACTGAGGATTACGGACCTGGTATAAATTATAAAACGCGGTGTTTAGTCCGCAAGAGGTTAAGGCATAAAATGAGGACTATGGACCATGCTTAAAATAACTGACCTAATTATTTCTACTTGTCTAGATAAGGTAAAAACTAGATTGAAAGATTCGCTCATTGTGCAGTGCAATAATTATCTGCAGGGGGCTGAAATATGAGCCTTACAAAGAGTAATATTACGTTGCACTCCTGCCATCAAGAGCAAATTAATTCATCCTGGTCACATTAAAATTATGACCAACCCCATTCTCCAATCGAAAAGGCGGAAGAACCCTCCCCTCCCCTTATGGTAATTATTGCACAGTCCCTAAATACAGCATTCTCACGTGGTATGGCGTGATTCTGTGGGTGTTGAGGGTTCTAGGTCAGGGCTTTAATCAGAGTGCGCGGACATTTTTCACCAGAGATTTCTCTGGTTGTTACGCCACACTGGCGAGCCCCAAAGAGGGCGAAACAGCTGTCTATGGCTACAATCCCGATCTGTTTTGAGTTCTTTCGTTGTCGTGTTGATGTCTTGCAGAGTTAATTTTCACGTAGTACGATCAGCATTGCAGTATTCTGCTTGCAGAATTTAATATGTCTACTTTTCATTTTTGCTGATCAGGTCTTTATACTCATCCTACGTTCTCCGGCATATTCGTTTGCGGTCCTTTGGGGTTAATGTTTGTAGCATTCTCATGAGTGGTTCTTCGTTTGCTTAATTGATCCAAATGCTTTGAAAAGGTGTCTTGGTGTGTCTAGGTCAATGACATGATTATTGAGGCAAGACATCTCGATTTTCAACCTTGTTGAGACTTCAAACTAGTATTTACAGCCAAACGTGAATATATCTACGTTCTTTTGAGAGCCGGAGCTTCAATGATAACTTCTATTGAGTTAAAACTGTAAATCGAATCCTTTAACGATTTTTTAAGACTTCAAAGTTGTATTTCGTGAGTCCTAAGACTCCTGGTGAAATCAGAGGCATGAGTTTCCTTGGCCCTCCAGTAAAAAAATTACGCGTTTAGCCTCGAGCTCCCGGTTAGCCTACGTGTAGGGTAGCAGGGCTAAGTTATGTACTTGGTTGAGTGACTGGCCCTTGTAAGTTTTACATTTCTTTTGTTTTCAAACGAGTCAGAAAATTCACGTTACAGTGGATAAACCAATAAAAGATATAAAAGTGAGATGCACCGAATCGAGGATTTAAGAATACCTGTTTATATTGTTTTACATATATGTTGTCCTAAGATTCCTTTACCTGCACGGGACGAACGGGATGTCCTTTATATGCTAGCTAGTTCGCTCCTTATCTCATTTTTATCTACCTAGAGCTACTTTTAAAACATATTCCATAGTCCGCGTTTAATACCTATTCCNTAGCCTACGTGTAGGGTAGCAGGGCTAAGTTATGTACTTGGTTGAGTGACTGGCCCTTGTAAGTTTTACATTTCTTTTGTTTTCAAACGAGTCAGAAAATTCACGTTACAGTGGATAAACCAATAAAAGATATAAAAGTGAGATGCACCGAATCGAGGATTTAAGAATACCTGTTTATATTGTTTTACATATATGTTGTCCTAAGATTCCTTTACCTGCACGGGACGAACGGGATGTCCTTTATATGCTAGCTAGTTCGCTCCTTATCTCATTTTTATCTACCTAGAGCTACTTTTAAAACATATTCCATAGTCCGCGTTTAATACCTATTCCATCTTTTATACTCACCCCAGCAGTTCCAAGTCCGTAATCCGCAGTCCGCAGTCCACAGTCTAATTTTACACCGACGAGTCGTGCGACAGGTCGGGCGGATTCTGAGTCCAGCGGTGTTACGTAATGATTATGTAATTACTTAAGATGAAACATGGCCGCTTGCAAGGAGGGTAAACAACGAAAGTTGGATAACGAAGTACAGTTAGGTTTTGCCGAAGCAATAGACGACGACGATGCAGTTCGTAAACTACAAATGACAAGCTCCTTCTTTCCAAGCAAAATTGGCGGAAGGCCGGCTTGGTTAAATCTACAAGATCTTCCTGATTCCGATCGCATGCTGTGTAAAATCTGCTGGAAACCGATGGTTTTTCTGTTGCAAGTCTACGCTCCTTTGACCAACGATCAAGGCTTTCATCGAACAATTTACTTGTTTTGTTGCAAGGACGGAAATTGCCATGCCAAAAACAACAGGGACTGTTTTCTTGTTTTGAGAAATCAGCTGAAACGTGACAATAAGTTTTACAACTTTAATCCTCCCCCTGATCTCGATGAAATGAGGGAACTTTCATTGGAATCAGTAGGGAAAGAGTTTAGGCCGAAAGCGTGGACAAGTTTGTGTGATGTATGTGGCTGTCTCGGGAGCAAAACATGCTCCAAGTGTCACATGACACGATATTGCAGCCGGGAACATCAGTCAGTGGACTGGAAATCTGGGCATAAAAGCTTTTGTGCAATGTTTCTTTGTTCGGAGGAGGAATTTACCCCAGAGCAGCTTTTCGAAGGTGACTTAAGTCTTTGGTTCATGTTTTTGTATCTAAGGCCTAGCTGTTTCAAATGTCAACTTACAGTCGTACTGAATTCTACTTTAGTTTACAGCAGTAGCACAACAGTTAACCTATTCATTTCCTACAGAAGTAGTGGGGAGAAGTTGATAAAATTCAAGCAAATTGTGTGATCATGTCGGTAATTCTCATGACCACTCCGTTTTACAAAGCATTGATATTACAAGGAGAAATTTGATGCTGATCTCTCTTCAGGCTTAAAGGGTTAACCCAGATCATGCTTTCCGCTGTTTAGCGTGACGAGCTTTGCCACCTTACATGGCAGTAGCATGACTGGTTTCAAATGTCGTGCTAGCCCCTACTACTGTACTGAACTAGTCCTTTTTCCAGAGTCTCACGATGGCAGCAGGGTGCCTGAGCAGTTAGAGTCTTATTTATTTGTTTCATTATCCCGAAAACCCCCTTAAGGGGAGAAGATAATTTTAGTCTTATAATAGTAATAAAGTCTTATAATTAATAGTTCATGGTTTTCACTAATTACATGCACAAGCCTGAGGGTTTTAATAATTTGACCATGAATTGGAGAGAAAGTACAAAACACAACCCATGGGTTAGTCGCTAGGATGCAAAAAGGAGATAGAGGAAGGGGAGTGGAGAAAAAAATGCAAAACAAAATAATAATTTTTAAGTGTTTTTTTTTCTCTCTCCCATGTGAATGAATCAGTATTATTAGTTCATTATCCTCTTTTCTTTAAAGTGCTTTAAATTTGATATCAGGCCCCACTGTATAATTTTCATGACAAAAACTATGTTTTCCTAGTTGCCCAAGAGAAAAAGGAAGGTGCCAGGGGCCACCAGGTTTGCTAGAGCACAACTCTGACCATTTTTTCTGATCCCAGAAGGAGTGGTTTCTAAGTGTCCCAGGTATAAGTTAAATGCACTGTCCATGTTTTTAATTTCCATTTTTATAACCTGCAATAATTACGCTTTCTTTTTTGCAAGCTCAATAGTCAACTCCGCACAAAAGTTCTCTAACTTCCCCGTTCACAGAAAGGAATGCCTCGTCATGAGTTTGAAAGTTAGAGCTACAAAAGATGGTAGGGTGGAGAAAACTGATGTACAACTGTACATAATTTCTAAATATGCTTGTGCTTTTATTTTTCAGGTAATAGTTCTTATAATAACTCAAAAAGCAAAGTCCTCTTTCCTGAATATGAACTGGTCACTGAAACAGAACCAGATGATGATGATGAGAGCGATGGTATTGAGAGAAGTGAGGAAGAAAGATTAGATGAATTTAAGCAGTTTGTACAAGAAAATGATCTTCTAAGTGAAATAAATGGTGATGACAAGGAATTGGAGTCCTTGGCCACCCTTGGGAAAGAAGCTTTGCTTGCTGACAAACAATTTAGAATATTCAAGAAAAGAATTTCCAGAGAACCAAAGCAGGTGTGTAATTATGTAGTATGTGTCAGGAAATACTTTCAGGGCTCCGCTCAACTGAGGAGCAATAATAAATGCATACAGTGTACTCTAGGGGTAACAGTACTGGTAAACCATTATGCATTATTATGAGTCACAAGGTTAAGAATCCAAAATTGGCCGGAGGCAAACCAGTTGACTAGTAATTATTATTACAAGTGTAACCAATGAGTAGAAATCAGGACTACTGAGAACAAATCAGCTAGTAGTTAGGGTGGGGATTGGACTTAAGGCCTCTGGATTACAATTCCAGAACTCTAAAACTACATTGCCACGCAAGCTTTGTAAGAATATTCAGCGAGTTAATGGTAACTGGTCATTCTTTTATACATGTACCTTAAGTTGCTGTCATGACCATGCCACTAATTTACATGTAATTTACATCTATAAATGTTGACTCTTTTATTTGGTTTCAATTTTTTTTTTTTTCGAATGATGCTGGGGAGCTTATCTGTTTATCATGTAAAATGTACCTCTTCCCCCTATTTTAATGTGCCATGTACATATGAGATTTATTGTAAGATTTTTCTTTTTATGAGAAAGGGATCTGTATAAGTTAATTTACAGTAGTACATATTGTATATAATATTTATGAGCACTTTTAACAGTTACAGCTTGTGGTCATATCGTGCCTAGTGTCTTGATATTTGTTTTATTTTAATATTATAGTCTCATGATAGCACCAACACCTGACTTGTCACATTTCAGGTTTTGCGTTATCACAAGAATGGAGAGCCCTTGTGGGTGTCCGATGAGGCTCAACCAGGTAAAAGTGATATCCCACCTTGTGCAACCTGTGGATCTGAAAGGATGTTTGAATTTCAGGTACAGTACATGCACCCAAATCTGTTTTATAATAGTCAACTTAGGAGTGCTTCAAGATGACGTAAAATAGTGAGAATTGTTTTTATCACTGTTAAAATGCACTCAGGTAACTAAAAATCATTATTCCCATTGTACAAGTATAATTTAGCAATAAAGGTTCCACTCAGTACAGTTGGCTGATGCTGCATTCAGCTTTGTGGATCATGTTGTGTTCTTTTGACCCTGATTCAATTCACACAGATATATCATTATTTTTACTAACCTTGTTTCTCAGTTAATGTATTGAGCAGTTAAGACTCTTCCATTTAGATTAATAAATATAAAGACTACAAGTAAATAACCCCATTCAGCCTTTGAACTTGTTTCTCACTACTTACTGTACTAGGATTAGGGCTCTGTGGCTACAATACAGGGCAGCAAAAGTATAGCATAGTGGTAAGACTGTACTTAGCTCACCCTGTCAATGTTTGAAATGATGGATTTGGGTTGAATTTGTTGATAATCCACATCCTTGCTCCATTATTCATTAGGTTTCTATCCACATTATTTTTCTCTCTGCTTCCCCTCACTGAAAATTTCATTTCCAAGCACAAGAAAATCGGGATGTGGTTGATGAGGGACACTAAGTGTACAGCTGTATGTACTAATATTACGTCATTATTTATTATGACGTTATTTTAAGTGCTTTATTTTTTATGTATTATTAATTAACAAAACCATATGAAGAGAAAACGCTTGTTCAACCAATTTTATGATTGTTAATAATAACTATTACAAATGTAAGAGGTTTGGTTTTCCTTGACCACTCATAAGTTGTTAAGCTCACCCTACCAGACTGAGAGAAGATTCCAAGTTTCATTATCATTATTGTGACGAATAACTTAATTGTCAAGTTTCAGTTTGCAACATTATATGAACATTACTAAAATTTGTGTGAAATTTTTTTTATATTTTTTGGTTAAGGTGATGCCTCAGTTGTTAAACCATATGCAAGTGGACAGTTTTGAAGAAAGTGTCGACTGGGGAACATTAGCAGTCTACACTTGTTCAAAGAGCTGTGGTGATGGTAGTTCATACCTAACAGAGTTCCTGTGGAAACAAAACTTTGCTGATACAGGAATCCCAACCACTGTGCTGGGTCACTAACAAGGATTCAAAAACTGTTATAAAAATTTTATTTATTTCCAGTTTGTAAATAAAATTAATTTAATGATAGGATGATAGGGATGCACATCGGGACAAGTTAGGAAAGGATATTTATCACGGAAGGGCACAGAATGTCATCATCTCAGTAGATGAGAAGTGGGATTATCTTGAAGCTTTTGAGCCTGGTCATTCTGAGGAGAAAAGCAGTTCCTTTCCTAAAAGAAATAAACAGGGTTTCTGGAGTTACTGTTAATTAAGCACCAACCAAACAGGTTGACGAGTAGGGAAAAAAACAGATTTTTATATTTTAAAAATTATTTCTTGAAAAGAAAATAGGACCCAGAGAAAGTTACAAAATTAATTGTTGAAAGATTATGGTAAGCAGGATTAGAAACTGTTAGAGACAATTTTCCTTTTTCGTGATTTAAATGCTGCAAAATGGGAGAAAAGCATTTTTTATGAACAATTTGTTCAAAGTCAAAATAATGTCACTACTTTTTCGTATTCTTGGTATTCACGAGATGAAAGAGCCATACAACCTCATCACAAGGGTCTTCCTTTATCCCATCTATCCCTCCATGAAGCAATAGAGAGGGAGTTGCTCCAGGGGATAGGAAGATACACCATGAACATAAGCTCACGCTGAGCTAAATTCAGCAAACCAAAAAATTCTGGAAATGCTTACTTGGCCGAGTCTGCATAACTCGCTGAAAATAGCAAGGAGGAAGGAAGCCATCTTCATTTCCAGGACAAAGTATCACATTGTTAGCTGATCTATAGAATTTGAAGCCATCTGAAAAGTAAGATAATTTATTTACAAACTGTGCTGTTGGTATGTGGTATTAATGAAACTTTGAAATCTTAGAGGAGGAAAAAATTGTTAGAAACAATACTCTTCCTATCTATAAATACAATGTAGTCTGTTATAGGATAAGATATTTCTTGGTATTGTGATGTAGGTAATTTTAGTTTTTTTTTATTATGCCATCTAGTGATTACTCTTTTCACAAAGCCAGGAAACTGCCATCTCCTCTCTGAGGAAAAAATTAATCTATTGTCAGATTGTGCATGCGTGATGTATAATATCATTATTTTTTATACAGTATGTGCAAGTACATATGAGTTGAAAATAATCAGTGTCATATTTAATTTGCCATTTGTAGCATATAAGGTCGGAAGAGATCTACATCTGTAAGTGTCGATAAAAAAAAAACAACAAAGGACGGCCCAAGCTTGAAATATGACCATTGGCACTGTTGCATAACATTTGCTTTATAAAAGAGAGAAAAAACCAGCTCATTTAAAACACATACAATAGCCATAAACCGGCTCAGGAACCACACAGGAAAGAGGAAACACACAACTTTAAAAATCCTTTCACAATTGTATGTTACAGAAAAATCAATTATTTTTTTTTCACCATACAAATCCTTTTAGTAAAATCCAACTAGTGGTCTATTATCAATGCTGTGTTCTGATTGGTTGAGCTACTACTATACTAGGCAATATGTTATAGTCCACTAGTAGCGTAAAGGGCCAGCTTTGAAAACCAAAACAATGGCAGCTGAATCGCTAGTTGGATTTTACCAAAACAATTATTCCTCTGTCCCTCATGGCCTCCGAGTCAATAGCCCATTCGGGCTAGCGGAATAATTGTTAAATATTTCAAACATTATGCAACAGTGCCAATGGTCATATTTTGAGCTTGGGCCACCTGTGACTACCCAAGATTAAAAACTCCCCACTTAAAAATTTATGTGTGTTTGTTGCAAAGTGCATTTTAGGTCTAGGCTGGCATGGGTCAGACGTCGAACTTAGGATGGGTCGAACCAATCAACTGAATAAGGCCGAAAAGCAATTTTAGCCGGCCAGTAATAAATTTTCTCCTTAACAAGGCAAAATGTACATTATCTTACAAATTTTTAATTTATTAGTTTAGTTCGCCAAATGAGAGGATCAACATTTGTCCCAAAGATTATCTTCAGACGTTTTATCTGTCTGAAGCAGATGGATAGAATGTCTTGGACGATCCATGTTGAACTTTTCATGAACTTAACTCATGCCACTAAGTTTGGTTTTTCTCATGAAAAGTTCGACATTTGGCCTATGCCTTAGTTTTCTTACCACTAAGAGCCTTTTGAAGATTGATGAAGATTATTATTTCACAGCTTTTTCGCATCCCTAAGAAAATCAAAATGAGCTTTGCTTACGAGTAGTTCCTTCAATTTCATTTTATAACCACCCCAAATGCCAAAATTCAGCAGTTGCCCACAGGGAGTGGTCATGCACTCACAAGAGAGTGATCCCCAACAACGGTGAAGTGGCCTGGAAAACAGAATTTGTCTTTTGGCTTTTTTGGATAGGTGGTTGCTTGTGACAGGCTGTAAGCATACAAGAGGTTGTACACGGAAGTTTGACTGCATCTCTTTCAGCCTTTCATTCAATAACCAACCAAACATGAAGTCTTGAGAAAATGTTTCCTGGTGAAATTATATAATCCCTTTAAAAGAATTTATTCTTAGAGGCCCACAAAGAAGTATTATTTTTGTTGCATACCCTTCAGAAACTGTGGCTATGTTATTCCCTTATCCCTTGAGGAATTTATTCTTGGTAATTCCACCCATCAGAAATTGACATAATCCCCTTTAGAAAAACCTCCCTCTTACTCTTAGTATTGACCCCTTCAGAAAAGTTATCATTTACCGTCACCCCCTCAGAAATATCATATCTGTGGGGGGTTGGGGGGGGGGGGGGGGGGGACTGCCCCAAAACAAGTTTCCCGTAAATGTTTTAAATTTTTTTCCAGCAAGGAAGATCCCGTTGGTCTGAAGAAATTATCGTAGTGGGGTAGGCGGGGGTGTGGGTAAGGTGTGGGAGGCCGGGGGGTCGGGATAAGGTGAAAAAAAAAGAAGGAGCGGTATCAACGAGTGACATTTTTTTGAATAACCTTCAAAAACTTTGGCTATGTTATTCCCGTATCCCTTGAGGAATTTATTCTTGGTAATTCCACCCCTCAGAAATTTACATAATCCCCTTTAAAAAAACCTACCTCTTTCCCTTAGTATTGACCCCTTCAGAAAAGTTTTCATTTACCCTCCCCCCCCCAGAAAAATCATATCTGTGGGGGGTTGGGGGGGGGGGGGACTGACCAACATCAATTTTCCCCTAACAGTATTAATATATTATCAAGAGAAAGAGTTCAGAGAGACTTGATAAAATGATCACCAAAGGGAAAAAGCTTTGATCTCTCATCAAATTCTCTTAAGTTTAATTCCTCAAGAAAATGAATGGAGGTCTGTCTGGAGAATTTGCATGTTGATACTGGGGCGTAAAGCGTTAGGTTAGGGAGTATTAACTTTGTTGATAATATAATAATAAGAAAAGTGGAGAGGATTCGAAGTCTGCCTGACCATATCAATCTTTTATCAAAGAAGGGCCGGAGTTTAGAGGAATAAACTTCAGTCAAGTGACTTTCGATGAACTCCTAATCATTAAAAACTTTCCTCATTAAAATTTTTGTCTTTGCTTGTGAAACTAAAGGAGAATTTCAGAGTAGTTCAAGAGTCACTTATTAGGTTCCCTTCATGTTACAATGACAATTTACAGTTAATTAAAACTTGTATAGGAAAATTTTCCATGGAGCATGATCGAATGTGCTCACATTATCCACTACTAGTTAAAAAGGTGAAACTGACCACTGATGACTCCTTCTTCTCCAGGCTCCCCTGGTGCAAAATGAATGTGGTTTTTGCTCATCCTTGACAAGCCCTGGCAGATGACCAAATTATTTTACGATTGTCAGTGTAAAAATTCAAACCAGCCACCATACCTTATGCAAGGACGTTTGGAAAGCTTTCTTGCATTTAACTGAAGCCTAGGAAAGGTATTGGTCGTGATATGTCAAAGAAATTTGGTTTGTTAAGAAAAGAATAAAATCAGGCTTGAAATTGTGGCAGTTTAGTACAGATGTATACCTCACCACTTGTAGTGCACACAGTTTAATTGTTACATGATCATGAACAGATCTAGCTGGATTTTTGAGAAAAACAAATTGTGAAAAAAATTGAGCCACTTCAACTAGGAAAAGGCTAAGGTGAAACACATTAAGTTTTCTTAATGTGCTGTGAAAGAAGCATGTAAGGAGAAGGAGAATTGAAAGAAAGGAGCCAAGCTTAAGGAAGAGGAGTATAAAAAGCAATGGTAGAACCTGTGTAGTTAATTTTTTATTTCAGGTAATTTATGTTTTTCTTTTGTTTTTGGGTATGGCAATGTATGGTAATGAAGTTGAAACAAAAGAAAAATAAAAAATTAATAATTTTATTACCTGAGATAGAAAATTAACTGCCACAGAACTCTTAGGTTACATAATGGCTGTACTTTTAAGTAGAGTTTTGAATGACAAAAATTGGACAGGTGTGTGAGCAAATTAGACTTAAATGCTGTTAGTATTACCTCTTAAAAAAACCCATGCAGCTATTTAAAGATACATTTTTAATTGCCCTTATTTTATCCTGCAAATCTCCCAGGATCTCATTCTTGAAAAATAATATAATAGGACTGACATAACTAATTTGTCCTATAAACATTCGAAAAGACATGCAATCAATGTGAAGACATTAGAAATGAAAATAATGATTTTAATATTCTTACACAT